GATGTGCGCCTCCGGGGCCTCAGTTTTCATTGTCAAGATGCCCTAGATTAGGGCCAGGGTTTTGCAAGGTTCAGGATGGCCCTGTGCCAACGGGATTATAATAAGGGATTCCACGTGCGCAGGCTCCGAATGCATATAAACAACCCTATCATCGCCAGCTCCGAGGTTTGGGGTCTAGGGCAGTCTTGGGAGTCTTAGGCGTCATATGGGCTCAGCTCAGGCAAGCATTCGGAGTGTACAGATTTAGGCTGGCAGGTGATTTCCTTCAGCTTCTGTACTCTAGAGTTTCCGGCTGTGGGGGAGACTCGCCGGGGTTTGGCATGCGGGTTCACACATCTGCATCAAGAGTTGACAAACAGGTCGGGCTCTGGTCGGGCTTTGAGGCCAGTCTGGGATCTAGAGCCTAGCAGCTGGCCGTCTAGCATTCTTCGGCTCGGGATTGGGGTCGCTGGGCGCGGTAGGCGCGGTCAAAAGACTCCCAAGTGTTCAGGATCTCAGCTTCCAAGAGAAGAAAGACTTGCTATGCCGCCATTCCTCCTTGACATTCATATGCCTGGCTTTCGAAGAACCGTTGCCTCGGCCCTGTCATCAGAACTGGACCCGTCAATCCTAACACCTACCCTTTTTCCGGACAGTTTGAGATCCATGCACAGACTTCCTTCTCATCTGAGGCTAAGAACGGCCGCTGCCGAAGTCACGGAAGAGCGCTTGGAACCAAGTGCAGGGGCCGCTGCCGCCTCGCACTCTGGCGATGCAAGGGCTGCGTTTGTAGCAGTCGTAGTCGTAGGAGCAGTAGTAGCAGTCGTAGCAGTCGTAGTAGTCGACGTGCTGGTGGTGGTGGTGGTGGTGGTGGTGGTGGTGGTGGTGGTGGTGGTGGTGGTGGTTATGGGGGTGGCAGTGGCAGTGGTAGTAGTAGTAGTAGTAGTACTACTACTACTACAACTACTACAACTACGATTACTATTACTCTTACTCTTACTCTTACTCTTACTCTTACTATTACTATTGCTATTACTATCACTATCACTATCACTATTACTATTACTATTACTATTACTATTACTATATTACTATTACTATATTACTATTACTATATTACTATTACTATATTACTATTACTATATTACTATTACTATATTACTATTACTATATTTCTATATTTCTATATTACTATTACTAATACTATTACTAGTACTAGTACTAGTACTATGACTATTAATACTACTACTACTACTACTACTACTACTACTACTACTACTACTTCTACTACTTCTACTACCACTACTAGTCCACGCTTGCTTTTGGTTTTGGGCCTCGAAAACGCTCCTTCCACCGACAAAGTTGGACTTGGCATGGGTGAGGGGGGGGGCGGCGGGTAATATGGCATTTTTTTCAAAAGGCGACTTTGGTTTTTCGCCTTTCTCTACGGCTTGTCGGCAGGGACAGGGTTGTCATGGCCTGACAAGGCGAAACGCGTGGGCAGCCCTTACCACCACCAACAACAACACCAGCAGCAGCAACAACAACAACGACAACAACAACCACAACCACCGTGCAACCGAAATCGCAACCACGACCGTTGACCATACTGAAACACTAGTCGCATGCGACAAGGATCCTAAGCCGGCCTTCGCCGGCGATGGGCCACTTGGGCGCCACTGTGGTTTGGACCTCATAAAAACAAATGCCGGGATGTTGGGTTGGGGGTTGAAAGTCGGAGTGCCGTTTCAGAGCGCTCGAACACGAGCAGATGTGGGTGAAACGACTTGAGGCCCACCACAGCTCACAAGCCGCACTGCATCGCCTTTTGCTCAGAGCCGGGCACTGAAGTCGACAAGCCCATCTGGTCAAGCAGGCTTCATGGTAATATTCTGATAAAAATAAATCTACATATGAGTGTGTATCTGTATATACATACATAAACATGGTACATGTGCATAGAAAGCAGAAATACTGCGGCATCATTATGGACTATTGTCAATGTTTAATGATACTTAAAACATGTATACAATGGGAGTTAAAAGCCTGGTGTTTGAGATTCAAGAGCTTGAGGTGTTCACAACTATCTAGCGGTAAAAGCTCTTCTGGACGAACCAGCTCCCCAAAGAGAGCCCCAACACTTAAGCCTGTGCTCCCTAAACATTAAACCGAACTGGGCACACATGGATGGAGTACAGCTTTGAGGGAGAAAAAACAAATCGATCGTAGAGGAATGCCCCAAGTAAGTACCGAAGCTCCGGTAGCAAAACCCTCAGCCGAAAACCCTTACAGTCAATCCTCAAAACCCTCTGATAGCACTGGAAATCCTTAGACCTTTGGCGTCCTCAAGCATCAGCCTCACCAGCGCTCACCCAAACGAAGCTCCCGAAGTCATCTTAAAACTTCCATCTGGTTGTTCATGGTTGGTCTATGCATCAACGAATCATATCCTACTGTTCGAGTAGCCTGTAAGCCTTGCCAAACCTACACGTCAAACCGGGAACCATAACCCGTACACCATGAAGCTATTATTCAAGGCCCCAAACCATTGTGCCCCCGTTGAGTGCCAAGCTGTAGCCCATCAAACTCATGGCCCAGATAATGGCAGCCAATGTAGGAAAGCAAACGAGACAGAAGGCACCTCCTCGCCTCCCTTCTTGGCCTGCCGGCATGAGGCTCCACTTCAGAAACAAAGTGAGCGGCGATCGCAGGATTGAGGGCTTTATGCGAATCTAATTTGCAGGGTGCTTGGTTGCAGCAGAGCCATGCCACACAGAAGCACGCCAGAACCACAACAGCCGCACCAAGAACCACAACCCACAACGGCGACAACAGCAGCAGCAACAACATCAACAGCAGCGGCATCAACAGGCAGGTTAGAAACAAACTGTAGTATCAGCAGATATGCAGCAGAGACCAAAGATTTCGAGGACACCGATGGCATAATGGTCGCAACAAAACCAGCATAATTCTGCTGCGCAACGCCGGCAACAAACACGAACTCAACCACAACCACGACGACATCACCACCGCCATTTTCGTCAACACGACAACACTCATCTCGAACCCGGTGCCAATCGCCCATTATGATCGTGACATGCATCTTCCGCAGAGCTTCAAGCATCCACACGCCCAAGCACGCACGCACGCACAAACACACCCGCACACGCACACACACAACCACGACCGCCAGTGTCATCACCAAAGCAATGCAGTCATGAGAGACGCGGATCGACACCACACCCCCGGGTCGATTTTTTTTAGCTACGGGGCCTTTATCGTGTTACAGGTTCTTGCGGAGTAGCGGGGTGATTGAAAGTTACACATTCCCTGCGCCGGCTAGCGGAGTAATTGCTACGTTTTTAAATTTTAGAATTTTAGAACCATAATACTTTTATTTGCGGAGGAAGCCCCAGGGCTCACTTGTGTCAGGAGTCTCTGGGGGAGCGGGTGGTGGGGGGGTGGGTAAAGTAGGCTGTTCCAGCATGTTCAAGCCAGTGGGTCGCACTATTGGCATAATCTAATCAGCTGTAGCGTCGTAATCCGTCCCAGTGCATCCTCGCCATCACTCCAAAACCCCAGCACCTTTAATCCTGTCGCAAGAAGCCAAAATCCAACCCTTATGATAACGTCAAACTCAATGTCCCAGCATCCCCTCCACTTCTGATCCCTTTTGAGAGTCCCGGCCCATCGTGTTCTGGGTGTGGGTGTCTTCGACGGATCCCTGGGTGTCCTGCTGCAGACCGTCGACTATACTGGGTTGGGATTTATCTGTCTAGAGAGGGTTCAGGGGCTCCGGAATAACAAGAGGAGCATCTACAATATTGCCTGACACCGAAGGGGCCGAGCCAGTTCGTGCTGTGTTTTTCAGCTGAACACGGCACAAACACGAGGACGAGAACACCAGGAATGCGTAATTCAGTGCTGTGGACAAGAGTAACACATCGAAAGCATCAGCAGCAGTTGCTGTCAGGCTGTGAAGGCACAGCGAGGTATTCAGAGGTGGCTTCCCAGCTGCCGAGTACTGACAGAAAGAGATGTTCAGAGGCATGCCCTCCAAACCCCAGACCAAGGCTAGAATTCTTCCTGACGTCTCGGTCAGCCGTGGAGTCGCTTGCCGGCGCGAGGATGGGGGCCGATGCCTCTCTGCGCTGCATTCCTCTCCCCACGACAAGTGCAGAAATCGAAGATGCGAAGGGCGCCCAGCCAGAACCGTGATGACTACAACGATCCAGCCCCTCCATCCGCAAAGCCCCAACGGACCACAAAGCCCCGCGCTGAATTGAGCAAACGGCCTGTCGAATGAACTCCTCCTCATCGACGATGGGGCCGGGCCTGATTCATTTTTCGCAAAAAGGAATGAGAAGGGGCATGAAATGTTGAGTTGGAGCACGACCTTGATCAAATCTTCGTAGCCGTATCATTAGGACAACGAAACCATCAAACTTCTCTGGGAGTGGGATACACTTCAAGGAGCCGTCTCCATGACAAATGACAGTAAGCCAAACCTCACAGCAGCTCAAAGTTCATGCATCCTCCGGTGTGCACGTAGGCACTGTGCAGAAACGACCTAACACTAACGACACGTGCAATGCCAAGAAGCACGACTTTGAACTTGCTACACACCCGCGTCGACGAAAGCTACACACAACTGAAGGAACAAATGACTCAGTTAACAACCAGATTTGGCTCCGGCATCGCCAGACAGACTTGGTGACTCAAGAAACGCAGTTGCGCTCCAAGGAGGGTTAAGCTCATACTGCAAAAACTCAGTAGCACCACGCTGCAGCAGCTCCCTCAAACTCAAACATTGCAGCACTGCTGCGAGTGAACTTGAGAGCTTCTTGGTCTGCTTGGTTCATATTTTCCACTATAAACACCATCTAGGACGCAGTGGTGCATTGAGTCCTCCGGGAAACAAAGTGAAAAGAAGCGGGCTCGACCGCTGTCGGCCGAGTTCGCATATAACCTAACAGTGGACAGGCGGCAACCCGCCTTTGCCCTTAGAGAGCCGAACGGCTCTAGCTATCGGAAGCCTTCGACTCACGAGTGGCCTCCCTGCGCGCGGCTCGCCTGTGTGCCTTGTGCGCCTCGAGCTGATTTCGATTACGCCGCCTTTTGGCTTCGCTCACGTTGCAGAGATGGCAGTGGTCACAATCGTCACCCTTGCGGCATCCATCTGCTTTTCGGGTGTGATAGAGGCACGGAATGCATTCGCCAATATGGTGAAGGACGAAACCAGGAGAGCCTCTGACCTCGTAAGCCTTTCCAGGCTGAAAAGACAAACTGGGGTCTAATTCCTGCGAGTGCTCCAGATCCTGAACGTTGGCATCAGCCGGGCCGTCCGAGCGGCCTTCGAAGGCGATCTTGACATCATTGATACTTGATGTCTTCTCCCCAGTCTCAAGAGAGGAAAGACTGCCATCGTCTGTGTCATCGCCCAACCAAGCTGTGGGCAACGTGCCGCCATGAAAAAGGGACGATGCAGAGCTTGATGTCTCGTCTGCAGAGTGCAAATCCACACCCGTCTGCACCTGATGTTCCATGTGAAGCGCCGACGGACGTACTTGTGGCCACAACTGGGACCTACTGCTTGATTCAATCAACAATCTTCAGTCGTGTCTCGTCGACGCACTGTTGTCTTGACCGTGGTTGCTGCTGCAGGTGCTGCAATGTGCGAACATGCGCCTGCATGCTTTAGCAACTTTAGTGCTCCTGCTACTGATAAATGAATACACTAATCTGAGGCCCGCCGGCTTGAACCATCCAGGGTGACCGGCTGCACTATTCTGTCTGAACTTCAACCCGGAACCGCAGCAACCGCAAGATCAGCTCAACATGTTAGTTACAGTTGAAGCGTCAAGCACTCCACCCAGAACCCTGAAACCCCAGCCGCATTCAGGAATCGCAGTTTTGAAGCCGCCGCATTGGTGCCGAAGGCGACGGTGGTGGCGAGGAGCCGGGAACCTCTTCGAAGCGAGGAATTATTGCATTGGCGGTTGGATTGCAAGCAACGGGGTTGGCCTGGCGTTGAAAGATCTATGTCAGATGTGGTGCTGAAAAGACTTCGTCCCACTTACCTGTAAGCCAACGAAAGTTGTTGAAACTCGAAGTTTCGAGTTCCGAAGGCTTTGGAGCGGCTTAGGGTTCGGGGCAGGGGGGTTCGCTGGTCTCAACCAGCACCAGGCACGGAGAAATGCCTTGTGACATGGATGGGCTTTTTTGTGCCTGGCACCTGTAGGGGAGAATCTGTCTGACGATAACCGCGAATTAGCCGTGCCTGGCACGCTAGGCTCGATGTTGTTTAAACCCTCACCCCCAGCAAAAAAGAGACCAGTGCCTCAGTATGTAGACCCCGAGAGGCAAAGGATCCTTCTCTTCGGGCCCACGAATTTGGGACCGGGCTCCATTCTTTGCTTGGCGGGGCGTTGCGGACCTCGCTGCTGAGGGTTTTGCGTTCTTAGGGCCTCCAGGGTCGAAGCTCGCAAAGTCCGTGGCTACGAGGGCATGGATCATTCTCAGGTGTATGGGTGCCCTATGAGGTGGGAGATGAAGGTGCCAGGTGCCGGGTGTAGGGAATCAGGGAACAGCGCCGTCTGAAAAAGCCGCACCAAGCTTCCTACTGGTACTAGTAGCCTCGCTTCAAGTTCTTCGCAAAAAAACAAGCAGTTTTCTCAAAAAAAAAAAAACCCTTGGGGCCGGTGCTCGCTGGAGCCCCAGCCTGGCGGAGAACTTCGTCAAGGCCAAAGAACTCCGATGCTCCCGAAGTCTGAAACTCGACAGGCGCTACTGCGGAAGGGACCCAGCAGGCTGGTTCTAGCTAAGTCCTGTCTGAGGGGGGGGCTTAGGACATCTTAGGACCGCGCAGGACTTTGGGAATAGAGTGCGGGGCTGTCGTTCAGAGTCATTGCCTTGTAAAGGCTCTTGGCCGTATGAATCTGGGCTGCACCCGAGCCGGGAAGGATGGACACACCTCCTATCTGCCATTGTGGAATGCAATGCCGAGGCACCGGTGTTGCCTAGGAAGGTCTGGAAGTCGATTCCTGCCTGAGGCTTGGAAAAAGCAAACCCCAGAAATCAACAAACTTCTGCTTGGATTTGGATTTCGCGCTCCGATGGTCGGGTTCGATAACCCCGGACTCCAAGGGGCTGCTGAGAAACCGAGCATCCCCTCAGCACTACAATGATGGGAGCCTTGACAACAAGCAAACGGATCCACACGAATTCCGAATGCTGATGTATTCTACGAAACCAATATACCTGAACGATCGAAGCTAATTCAACCCCATGGCCCCGAAGCCAATCAACACACCAAGCCCCGCCTGCCCCCTGAGCCTAAAGTTAAACCCAGCCATAAAGCGCCCATCACCCAATCAAACATGATAGCCCCTGTATAAATGTAGGGTGCTGGCCTCAGGAGCAGGCGCAGCTTTCAACGCCTCATAGATCTAATTGTTGGAGCTTTAGATGCAAGGGTTACCGGGTGGTTAGAGCATGAGGTTCTGGATGATCTTTGGATGGAATTGCCCGGCTGTGGCCCATCCAACAGAACCATCCAGGACTGAGGACCACATTAGTAGGGCCAACTGCAAAAGACTTCGCCTCAGGGGAGAATGCTAAGCTAACTAATTTCGGCCATGAACACTCGAGCTCAACCCGAACCCTAAAGCCTACAAACCAAACCCCAAATCCTACTCCTATCAAAACCGAAACCGTGAGGTGAGACGCCTGACCCCTGAAACCCGAAAACCCTCGACCTGACAGGTCCAGGTCGAGCTCCAGAGGCTTTGAGGCTCGTAGGCTTAGGGTTATCGGTTGAGTCTTTCATGTTCCTGAGTTTGGACTCTCGCGCCGACCTGCGGGTTCAGGTATTTTCGAGATCGTGAAGTTTCGAATTGGATTTCATATCAGCAGACATGGAGAACAATAGACTACGTGCAGCACGGAAGTCTTTACAAGGCCTGATGAGTATGTTGCTCGTTCGAAGCCATTTATTTCCGTGACCAGTATTTACCGGGAGTTGTGAACGCCTATGTTGTCCTGTGGGTGCCACAGGAAGCTTCGGAAAAGGCCACAGCTTTTTCATCTCCGCCGAGTCATTGTCTTTGAAAGCTGCGGTCTCTTTTCTTTCTATACATCAAGACCGACTAAGCAGTCCCAAAAGGGCTCTGAACCAGTGTCTACAGACTTGGAAACACACATGGTCCCGTGAAAACCCTATCCCTACTCTCGCGACCAGCACCCAGTAATCTTAGTGGTTCAGAGGTTTCGGGGTCTGTCGCGCCACATGTGATGATGCCCCGGGCACTGATACTGTTCAATCAAGGTATGCACGCCCTCAACCAACTCCTCGTCTACACTTGCTACTTGTACAGTAGTATATATCAGCACATGTCATCATCCTCACCATCACCAACATCATCACCAACATCATCATCATCATCATCACGGCATTCCTTGTTGATGTAATCTCCTGCTTATGGCATACTGCAGCCGCTGCGACTCAAAACCCCGGTTTAACCTTCAGAGTAACAAGCCACCCAACATGCCATTGACAGTTGAATTCTGCTCAGAGCATGGTTAGTCTGGAACTGTGACTAAGTTTCACAGGGGCTGCTCAAAGTCCGAACTCGAATAGAATGTTGTAATGCACATGGAACAAGCTTTGCCAGGCCAACCCCCGAAGCCCAAACACTACCCGGTGCTAGCTTGCCGTATGCTCCTTGGAACAGTCAATACCTGTTACAAACTTCAGGGGTTCAGACCCCGCTCACGTTCGGCGTCGTCACGCATTTGCTGATGCGCCTTGCGCAGGAGCTTCCGAAACCTCCGCTTGAGCAAAATCGACCATGCTATAGCGGCCACTGCTTTGTTCGGGCTTCGCGGGGAAAGAGGTTCGGAGCTCAGGAGTTGCAACTTACGGTGATGCGGGTTCAGGGTTTTGGGGCTTGAGGTGTCAATGCCCTCTACGAAGACACCACAGAATGCGAACTCACTCGATTTCCATGAAGACTGTTGCGAGCCTCGCCACAGACCTCAAAAACCACAGAACACGAGAGTTTGAAGCATAGGCTTGCGGCATGGCATGGTGTTGTCTCTAGGAAGAACAACGAACCATGCAACATAAACTGGGAGAATAATTTCAACACAAGCTTCTTTCGCAGCAACTTTGCTTGACTGCAAGCGCCCAGACAAGCCTTGGAATAGTCTCCTCTCGAGTTATCACCCAGCAACCCTGACCCCAAGCCCCACCAAGGCCCCAAGTCCTGCACACACAAATTCCCTGAATACCTTCCCAAACCACATAGTGCAGCCGGGCTACTGAGGGCCAGACAAGCCCATAGAACTGAGAAACTCCGCGCTCTGCTCCTTGTTTTCCCAGGCTCGTCTAGGAAACCCAAGTGGAAATGTCAAGCTGAACCGCTGAACGGTTGTAGTGTTGGGCTCTCACAAGCTCTTGTGTTCGAGAGGGGGAACTGGGGGTGGGCTCAAAACTCGGACCCCCTGTGAGCCAAAAAGGCAGAGACATCAAGCCGGTCAAGCCTAGCAAGACAACCACCAAGAGCGCCATTGCACAAATGACCATGCCCGCACCAACCAGCACGGCAACAGAAGTAGCAACGGTAGCGACGGCAAGACACGAATGCATCTACCACCAACGGAACCGGGACCGCTGCACCAGTGTGCCACCACTACGTACTCAGGCCCACGAAACAGCCGCCAATTCCAGCCCAAGCACCAGCGGCATTGACATAAAAGCAACTACAACTAGTGTGGTAACAATGCCACGAAGGCTGGAACTGGTAGAAACGAATCCCAGCAAATCGGAAAGACAGCAGCAGCAGCAGCAGCAGCAGCAGCAGCGGCAGCTGTAATCTTGACAAGCATTGGGTCATTCGCGTCATTTTGCTATCGCTGTAGTGATCACTCAACAGCACACATCACTATCACTACCCCACTAAACAAACTACAATCGGCGCAGCACCATGTGAGCAAGTATCAAAACTTTTCGTTGGTGTAACATGATCCCCGGACGATATTGCAGAGCGTCCTATGTGCCCCCTTCCCTCGTTCATCAGGCCCGTCGCCGCAATACTGACTGCAACTCATGTGCGTGCAACACGAGCGTTGTCACAGAACATTTAAGGGGCCCTAATGTACCTCTGAACACTTGTAAAGACCTCGAGATTGAGAACTCGCACATCAAGTGATCCTTGTAGTCCGGGCTGAGAGCTCCAAGCAGGCCCAAGCGCCCGAAGAAGATGTCCCAGCGCTCCTCCCCAGCTGTGGCTTGGGCACAGAAGCAGAAGCAGCACTACGAACTCTGAATTGCAGCCTCGATCTTCTCCAGCTGGTCGAGGAAGGCGATCTTCCCCAGTGGGTCAAAGTTGCCATAAGACCTTCGCTGCACAGTTCAGAGGCCTAAGCTTGCCCTTCTGAGGGGCTTTATATGACCCCAAACCCTTTTCTCCACAGGCTTGATTAGCAAACCCCAAACTCGAACATCCAGTTATAGGCCCGCAAGGCTAAAAGTCTACAAGCAAAAGTGCCAAGAGACTCCCCCATGACGATCACCTGCAGTGCGCTGTGGTGAGCAGAAGCTTTTGGGGTTCCTTCCTAAAGGCTCCAAGACTTTGCTGCAGTCGAATCTGCCATCTCAGAGTGGTGATGCGGAGTTGGAAATAGGGGTCGCGCCGCGCAGGATTGCTGAAGCTGTCATCGGTGGAAGCACGAGCTTTTGCAAGACTTCGCTCTGAAGTTGAAGCTGCTAGATCTAAGACCTACATACTGACATCGTGGCTTGAATGCAAGGAGCATTTTTATAAGAGAGAACATCACAACAGGCTGTGCCCATGGGTCTCTGAAAGCAAAACTTCTGTTCTCCGACGTCTCCGAAGCATCGACCCCAGAAGAGCAGTGGCCTGCTGGTGGTCCCGGCAAAGCGCCGCATATTCCTCCTCGGTGTTCCAAAATGGGGGAGAGCCTTCTTTCAACCCCAAGATCCACACGGAGCCTCAGCATTGAAAGCCCGAGCCCAGTAGTCCGGATGACCCGCGCTCAAAGGGTCCTTGACAACTTCGTTGGTGAAGGCCGAACTGTCGAAGGGCTCTGCTGTAATCATGTTGGGGGCGGCGGCGGCCGAGGGCAAGCCTTCCTTCTTACACACACACACACACACACTCGGAAGTACTACAGCGAGGGTCAGTAGGGTCTTACAGGGGTTGTTTACAAGTTTAAAGCTTTGCTCCGAACGGGCTGCAGAGGAAAGCGGTGTTCACAGCGCCTAGGGCCTAGATTATCCTAAGGCTTTCCGCTGGTTTCTTTGCTTGAGTTATGTACTCAACCGGTGACCGCACCCCAAACAGCTGCTATGCCCTCAAACCTAAAATCCTTGAACCATCCCTACCAGTGAGGCAACACACAACGAACCCTAGACCTCTATCCAAGTACTACTTGTAGGTCGTCAAGCCGTAACCTAGCGAAGCCCGACACCCGCCCCCAATGTGAATCTCGAAACACAAACAAAAACTGTTACCCTGACCCCCTTGCGTACCTTCGGAGGGGTCATATCCACGCCCACCGGCGCAGCTGGAATCATGCCACCAGTAGCAACTGCCCTCATACAGTCGACTTGGTACCTGCTGTGTTTACACTTCAGGGTGTGGGGGTCCACAGTTCGGAAGCAGGGTTAGGGTGCAAGGCTTTTCCCTGCAAGCATACGTGTTGGATCTACGGCGGCGGATTCAATAGTTATGCTTTCTCGCAGGACATGTTCCAGCTCCGTTCTTTTAGGGCTGAACGTATTTGCTTAAACTGCACTAGGGAAGACATTGGGACAACTGGGGTCTACTGCTCTGTGTCTGCTTCGGGTTTAGCTTTCACGATTCAGCATCTATGGAAAGCAAGGTCGTACACTTGCGGGTCTTCGCAAAGAAAGGCGGTGGTGGGATGCCTATGTAGAACGTGAACTCCCCTGGATGTCAATACAAAACGAATATGCGCTGAATGTCCACGACGCCTGCAATGTGCCCTCGGAGTATCTTCTCTGCACGAAGCTCTGATCCCCCAACCTGCATCTCCAAGCGAACCCCTGTAACCCGAAAGAACCCCGACTCAAAACCCCAAGGCCCACCTGAAACTAAGGGAGCCCAGCCCAGGAAGCCCAGGCACTGGACCATCTTGCCAAGGTCTTCGATGCTACGACCATCGAGGTGGCTCAAGGTGAGCTTGAAATACTCGCGACTTTGGAAGTCGCTGCTCAGCCGAAGCCTGCTTGGGAAAGGCTCTGGGCTTTAAAGATGAAGGAATCATTGGTGCAGGTTGGCTGAAGCTCCTACGAAGCGGGGTTTCCTTTCGAAAACACTCTGCTGCGGAGCCCTTGGTGAAGTGAGGGCCCCTTAGCCATTGGTTGCTCCGATCATATTTCAGGACTCCTAGAAAGGCCTGTGGAAGTGCACATAGAAGTAACGACTCAAACGTGCAGCAAACCCCGCCTGGCCATCAACCCATTCCACTTCTGGTAGGACTGCTCCAGCTTGTCGGCCAGTTGTCCCATGCGCTGAGAGTCCGGCTCCCGGCCCATCTGCATATCGAGCTGCATTCCTGGGTTCCAACATGTTCGAACTTTCAGGCTCATGGCTCCCATGAGAAAATTCAAGGGCAGTGTTCTAAGGAGCCCAGATTCGGCTCATCTCCACTGCGAATTCTGGAGACTCGTTGGTCAGGTCGCTCATACCTTTGCTGAGCCTCAGTTCTTCCCTCCTCTGCTGAAGAGCGTTGAAACGGGCACGATGATTTCAAAGCTGGGAGTGAGCAAAGGTTTGGGGCGGGTTAGCCTACTTCGGGTCAAACACTTATGAATGGGAAAGCTTTGCTTCCCTGAAGAAGCAACACTGGTCAAACACACAATCCGTCAAAGGCAAAGTCGTGAAGAAGGAGCCCTTGGGAATCAGAGGGCAGTGGCTGCAAGAGATCGACAAAAGAACGCTACAGTTGTAAACGTGGGGGGCTTGCAGCACTACTACTGTAGAGGGCCTGGTCCAAGTTTCGGTGCTCAAACAAAAGACTCGGTTTCTGGCCCATGCAAGAATGACGAGGCAAGCATTCCACCCTGCCGGAGCGAAAGGACCCCGCAAACTACGCTAGCGAAGTTGTGGTTGTCCTTTCTTCGCAGCACGATCGAATAGGATTCTTGAAAAACACAGTAATTATCCATCTGAGAGGGAACAATCAAAAGCCCTCAACCTCAACATCCTGGATGCTGTACGGCTGTACCCTGAAAAACCGACCCTCGATCCAGCAACACGGGCAAGGCAAGGAACTCGCTGTCCCACGCACAAGCAGAGGACCTGTAAGGGCAGAAGGGTCCAATAGGCGTAATGCAAGCAGAACTTGGTGTGCTTACCTGGACTTCTTCATCGCCAGCGTCGCCTTCCGCCTTGGATACAGATGAGTCTTTCCGAACACTGGGTGTCTAAGCAAATGTACCTCGCTGTCTCTGTGCTGCGCACGTGCATGTCACTTGCATAATGGACATGTACAAAAGCACGTGACAGTGTCACGTGTTCTCAACTTTCAGCTATGCAAGCACCTCACATTTGAGTTGGCACATGCTTCTATTCAATGGAACATCGTGTGCACCTGCAGAACTGCTCCTGCTTACTTATCGACTACGCGGGCGCAATCCCCTTTAACATCGTGAAATTCGAAGTACACGATCAAATCGAGATTCCCTTTCTGCTGGTCAGTAGTAACAAGTACTCAAACAAGGTAGCTTTGGAAAAGGATACCATTCTTTGGATTCTTATACTTATACTGTACGGAGAAAAATAAAGCATCTACAAATACAGCAGCTGGTACAAGCGACACTCCTCACCCAAAAGGCATGTTCCGTGACACATCATCTGCAGAAGCCGGGGTTCGCAGCGAGCGCAGCGCCTTCCCCGATGCCTGCAAGCGACCAGCCCACCGATGGCCCAAGCCGGTGTCGAGGAAGTGCGGACCCATCTTCGTTGGTGGGGCGGCGTAGGGTGGAGGCCCAAAAAAGGACTAGCAAGCTGCTGCGGCACCTTGCCCAGGGCACCAGCTGGCAGTAGGCCCCGGCCTTCCATGGCACCCCGAGGGCCCTGTGGCGTTAGAATTCGTGGTTTCTGGAACTGGAGGCTTCAACTTCTCCGAGCCGCAGCTTAACCCTCCCGAAAAAAAAAGCTGTCGCCAAGACGATGTGGTACAGCCAGCCACAACGAGCATCAGTCCACTGAGTGGACTTTCATATTCGCAAATGTCCCTTTCAGTACACTTCAATCCGATTGGTGGTGCCCAGTGGAACGTTGGTGCCGAAACTCGAGCCCAGATGGTATCATTCAACCGGAAGGAGACGCATGTTGATGCCGGTGGTGGTGATAAACATGATCATGGCGACGATGATAATGATGCTGGTCGGGTGCAGCATCAGCAGCAGCTCGAAATTTGAGCACTGCTAGCCGAGGCCCGGGCCCCTAAAGACTGTGGTCTGGATCCTCGGTCGAAACAGAACTTACATCTGCTGGTCTGCTGCGATGAGTCCAGGTCAGGTTTGCGCGACGGTGTGCTTTCCAGCATCAACATCTGAACATGCCTGAACCCAAAACGCATGGTTTTCGTTGGGAGTTGGGCTGCAAGTGACCTCGCTCCATGCCGAATCCTGAACTGTTCTTTCTTGCGCTTCCAGACGATGCCGAGAATTCCTGCTTCACAAGACCAGCAGCAAAGCCGACAAGTCACACAAAATCAACTCGTTAGGCCGATCCTGCACCGCATATATGCCACAGCCTACACACGAAACGATACACAAGCAACAATAACTGCAAGCGTCTGTCCAACAAGCTGACAACCCCACAAAACCCAAGCCCCAACCCGAAATCGTCCCCAGTGTCACTCGAAGGCACCATCGGGGTGCGTGTGTAAAGTTCAGAGACTGGCATAGCCACATAGTGGTTCCCAATTGTTCTCACATACTATATAACATGATTGACTTGCGGGATCCTGTGCGGAGGGGATCCAAGAAGGGAATATCGCCTAGGAATCCGCAATTCTAAGTAGCACTCCCACTCCCACAGGCTCGTAAGGCACCTTAAGGATCCCGAGTACCCTCCACCCTTGAACTACCCTCACTGTTGGGCGTCGAAAGTCATGTATAGTTCCTAGTTCATTGCTGAATTCCGCACTTAGTACTTTACTGTAAACTGTTAACTCGACGGTAGACCGGCAGACACTTACACGGAAAATTGTGCTTGTAACGATTGGTGACAATACCAGTACGGCTAACGATTGAGGGATCCGAGGAGTAGCACTCTAAGCCCTGAAGTCCGAGAAGCCTGACCCTTGGCTGCGGCCTGAGGGTGTGGGGCCCGTTTCTGGCTCGCTGCGCTGCTTTACCTCGCTGCAGAGCTGAGAGGCTTGTAGGCCTGGGCTTTAGACTTAGCTCGAACTGTGCCGGGATAAGCTTCAAAATTGGAGAATACCCAGCACCAAGAGGTAAGTACGCAAGGATTACTGAGTGATTTGCGGTCGGGACCCCGTACTCTACCAAACTCGGGCTACAAGCCCGCAAAGCCAACCATCGTTGTTGCACAAAACATGGGCGGGCGGCCGGCTCAAAATGGGCAGACAACGTGCAGAGGCCACGTGATAAGAGCCACCTCTCCCAAAATCATCATCTCAGCGTTCTAACGGAGGTCTGCTGGTCTTTCAAATCAGACTGGTCACTATGTAGGTAACGTTTTCCCCAATAAACATCTCCGAAAGGCGTCCAAATGTCACGCGTCGTGCAAGCAACAAGGTACAACTGTTGCGAACTTTCTGAAGGGCAGAGCACTGAAACCAGCTTCCAAGCTCGAAAAGACCGGTCCGCCCTAGGGCCCGCACGAAGTCCTCGAAGGAGACGGGGGCACCCTTGGCTCCGTCTGCTTGCCTTGCTGCGGTTTCTTCTCCAAGGCCAGAAAGAGTTCACGATTCGATTTCATACGGCAAGAAGAGGCAAAGCTTCACAGCAAGATGGCACCAAAAATCCCAAATTGTAGAAGCTCCGCCGCAAAGCCAAGCCGAACACACGGAACAGGGAAGACCAGTAGTAGCGATCGAACGCGAGCGCGGCGGTCGTCCGCTAATGTGGCTTCGATGACGACCGGTCAGCACATGCATGATGCAGTAATAAGTTGAAGTGTGGTGCAGCGGAACCTAACTGTCAAGTGGAAGAAGTACATGCCCGAAAAGAATCAACTTCAAGCTGTGGGCTAGCTGACTATCCGAACTCATCAGCATCCCCGCCAGTAACAACCCATCGCACCGGATAACCCCGAACCATAAACTCTTGGAGCCCTTATTAACCCCAAAGAGCAGGCCACCGCGGGGTAAGCCAGACCCTAAACTCCGAGAGATTTCAGGGCCCAAAGCTCTAAATCCTTTTCCACAGGCTTGATTAGTGCTCGCCCGGCCAGTATCCCCAGGCATCCTAAACCTTTAGATCTTCGCTCCCGGAGAAGCCTGCAACTAAACACGGATAAAATCCCAGCCTGATCAAGCTCTTGCATAGATCTTAGGGTCCTAGACTCCGCTTTTGAAGTACCAAAGGTTTCTTCCCGAGAGGAGGTCCCCGTCGACTCCGCTGCGCTCGCAGAAGGCCGCCGGGCCTCCAAGGCTCTGAAGACTTGGGTGGTCGTAAAAGAATCTGTAGGATTTTTTGTGGGATTCGGTTCGAGGGCCTCAGGATCATGGGGCTTGCGCACCAAGGAATGCCTGAGCTCATAAGTGAAACTTCTTCTATGATGGTTTTTGACACTTCGAGAAGGCTTCGAGCCTTGAGCGTCTTAACGGTGTGTTGAACTGCAAATGGATATGCTTCCGCGCAACCTGAGAATGAAGTTACTGGAAGTGGAAAAGGCATGAGTGGTAGCAGTAGTAGGAATTGTATTGGAAGGAATAATACTAGTAGTAGTAGTAGTAGTAGTAGTAGTAGCAGTAGTAGTAGTAGTAGTAGTAGGAGAAGTAGTAGTAGTAGGAGTAGTAGGAGTAGTAGGAGTAGGAGTAGGAGTAGGAGTAGTAGTAGGAGTAGTTGTTGTTGTGGTAGTTGTAGCAGTAGCAGTAGCAGCAGCAGCAGCAGCAGCAGCAGGAGCAGGAGCAGGAGCAGGAGCAGGAGCAGGAGCAGGAGCAGGAGTAGTAGTAGTAGTAGTAGTAGTAGTAGTAGTAGTAGTAGTAGCAGTCGCAGTAGTAGTAGTAGTAGTAGTAGTAGTAGTAGTAGTAGTAGTAGTAGTAGTAGTAGTAGTAGTAGTAGTAGTAGTAGTAGTTTAGTAGTAGTAGTAGTAGTAGTAGTAGTAGTAGTAGCAGCAGTAGTAGTAGTAGTAGTAGTAGCAGTAGCAGTAGCAGTAGCAGTCGCAGTAGTAGTAGCAGTAGTAGTAGTACGGAGTACGGAGTACGGAGTACGGAGTAGTAGTAGTAGTAGTAGTAGTAGTAGTAGTAGTAGTAGTAGTAGTAGTAGTAGTAGTAGCAGCAGTAGTAGTAATAATAGTAGTAGTAGTAGCAGGAGTAGTTGTAGCAGGAGCAGTGGCAGTAGCAGCAGCAGCAGTGGTAGTAATAGTAGCAGCAGCAGCTATAAAAGCGCTCTCTCTCTCTCTCTCTCTGTCTTGCTTTCTCTCTTCTCCTTCCACTGTTTTTATCTCTTCTCTCTTCTCCTTCTCTCTGCCTCTCTTCTCTCTTCTCTCCCGCTCTCCCTCCCTTCTTTTCTCTCTTCTCTCTGCCTGTCTGCCCTCTGAGAGTAGACAAAACACAACAAGAGAGAAGATAGAACACAAGAGAGAGAGGGAAGAGAGAAAACCAAAAACAAAAGAGAACAAAGCAAGAAGAGTGAAATGAGAAGGAAGGCAGAGCTTCGGGTATCAGGAAATTCGGTGGCATCCGTGCCCACATGCTAAGTCTCATCTCTACTAACTGGACTCCTCTCTCCCTCTCTCTCGCTCTGTCTCTTTAGAGACAGAGAGAGAAAGCAAGCAGACAGAGAGAGAGAGAGAGAGAGAGAGTGATAAGTACTACGACTACTGCTACAAGTACTGCTACTGCCACTGCCACTTCTACTGCTGCCACTACGACTACGACTACTTCTGCACGTATTGACGTATTGCATAAGTGGCGATGCAAGTGCGAGTCATGTCAACTTGTTCACGGCTGTGGAATCTAGAAAAATTGCAAAACCCCAAGCTTCAGCTAGTTACTAGTTGAACTCTGGAAGCCATGAGCGCCGAGCGCTCCAACACTGGCAACCTCCGCCGCCCACCCCATACAAAAACCACTCAACTAGCAGGACAGCAAAACACCATCTGCTTGTCTGCCTTAGAAGTCAGGCCCGCACGTGGCGTTCAGAGCTCGTGCAATTTGATTACGGGCTCGGGCTTCGATGGGTGTAGGACTCGGATCTCAGAAGCCAAGCCTTGGCAGAAGATGATGCAGGACCTCGGAGGGGTTGCTCTGTGCTCAGCGCTGCAAGACGAACGAACGAAGCGCCTCGTGAGGCCGGCACAAAAAATAACAACATCCCCGATCATCATGGCAAGCAGTGTCCTGATGCCTTGACGGTGTTGAGCAGCAGCAAGTGATAAGGCTCTGGCATGCGGAACACCACGAAACTATCTATATTCATTCTCTCTCTCTCTCTCTGCCGTTGCATCCAGAGGGTCTAGCAGGGCCAGGCAACGCATGAGGTTAAAGCCCTTGAGGCCCCTCACGAAAACAAAAGAGCAAGCCGCCCTTCAAGCAGCAGGCTGTGCCGACATATGCCAGGCACACACCTCTGCCTTCACTTTCGCGGCCCACTCCCAACTCAAACAGGAAACCTCAACAACCACTTCAGCCTCATTGCAACCCGTAACTGTAGCAACATGTAGCAACTATCCTACCACCAACCTCTCGACTCCACTCAAACTGTTGAGCCATTCGTAACCTCAAGCTCAACCTATCGGGACCCAGGAAAAGGCGGTAATGTGCAGAAGCGGGTTGCTTGGCTTCGGCAGCGTAGTGCAGCTCTTCAGGATTCTTCAAGTTTACAGTTTCGGGGTTTGGATCTGTTGTGTGGGCAAGCCTC